CCTGTTTCCCAGGTACCCACACCCACGAGCTGTACTAGGGAGGGCGTACTGGGGAGTCAGCCACAGGTAAGGGAGACAGTGAGGTGAGGAGCGGCTCCCATCCGCAGACACAGTACAGAATCGCCCTTCATCCCTCACCAGACACACATAAAGGGGCTTCCACAGCCCCCTGGATTACATGTGATGGCCATCACCACTGAAAGACTGGGGAAAGAGCACCCTTTCAAAGTCCAAATACAAGCTCCCTTCCAGCCCCAATGGCATGGTAAACACGTGAGTTTTGGGGTCAGAAGGAGGTTCAGTTCCCAGGTCTGCCACTTCCTAAGGATGTGACCCCAGGGCAAGTCACTCCTCCATCTGGGAACAGGGATCTTAGTAACCACCTGGAAGAATGGTGGCCAGGATTTGATGGGATATGCTCTTGGTTAGTGGGTGCGTCCTTCCCGGCCCTCTCAGCCACCCCCACTTCTCTCTGGCAGAGCCCCAACTCCAGTCAGTCCTGAAGCTGGAGTCCTCAGGGCCTGAGAGTGGGGCCCCAAACCGCAGAAAGTGGGGGGGGGGGCACTGAACTTTCCAACCCACAAACCCCATCCCACCCCCCCGCGCCGTTCATTACCTTAACACGAGTTAAAAATAACCGTCTCATCTCTTTAAATTAGTCTGTCTGCAATTACCGCCTGGCACGGCGCTGCCCGCCATCCTCCCGCTGGAGCGGCGCCAGGTGGCAGGCGGGGGCCCTCACCCTGTCTGTCGGTCTATCTGTCTGCTCCCTGGCGCCCCTCCTTCTCCTCCCAGCAGGGGGGAAGTTGCCCCTAGGGCCCTGGGGGTCCAGCTCCCCAAGTTGCGTGGGTATGGAGCCAGGGCTATGGGCTTGGAGCAGGTAGGAGTGAGGAGAAAAGGCTGGGAGCAGAGGACTGGGGTGGGGGCTCCAGAGCGCGGGGGAGGGGCGTCAGGAGGCCCTGAAAGCCGGAAGGGCCCGCCGAGCCAGCGCTCGTGGGTGGGTGTGAGCAGGTGGCCGTGGGAGTCTGCCGGGCGTGCCAGCAACTGTGCCAGGAGCGGCTGGCACGGGCTCGTGCCCAGGAGGCGGACAGCTGCCAGCCCCCCGCTCGTGCAGTGCAGGGAGGGGGGAGTGAGGACACCCCCCAACCCCGGCTCGCACAGCCTCCTCCCACACCCCACCATCCCTTGGGGCTGGGGATCCCCGAGGACAAAGGAGGAGGAGGGAGCCCTGCTCCAGTAGTCTAGGGGGAGGAAAGATGGGGGCGTCCCCTGCACTCACAACCAGTGCTCAGCTGTAGCAGGACCCTCCTCCTGGCGGCTCAGATCAGCCCCTCCTTCTAGCCCCCCGCCCCACTTAGGGCCTACAGGCCCCCTTGGGCCAGATGAGGGTAGCACCACCCCTCCTGATCCAAACCCCAACAGCCAAGCTGCTCCAGGCCCTGAGGGAGAAGGAAGTCCTCACCCACTGTGCTCCTCCCCCACAAGAATGGGAGGCGCCCAGGCTTGGCCTGGGAGCTCCCAGGGGAGCAGGCAGCCAGGAAACAGGCAGAACAACTCCAGGAGCTATAAGAGAAAGGAGCGCTAAATGGAAGAAGCGCCAGGATGCAGAGCAGCCTGGAAGGCTTCCCGGAGGAACCATCGCTAGGGAAGGTGGAGCTGGAGCATCTGAGAAAGTGGGAGGCTCTACCTGGATGTCAGATATCCACCCTTCTGGGACACTGCAGAGAGATGGGGACCTGCTGCACAAGCCCTCTTCCCAGACCTGGAGACCCTCTACTCTGAGGGGAACACTATCTGCCTCTTCAGAAGAGTTCCCAGCACTAAGCCCAGCCTCTTTTCGGGCTTTTGCCTGGTGGGTGTACTGTGCTTGCCGCCTCCTGCAGTTTGCCCAACTACTTCCTCACATCACCAGTGGGACCACCAGGCATAGGCCAAACACATCAGCCCTTCCTGATCTGTTCCACTCTACCTTTCCCATGCCACCTCCCAGCCATACCTAGAAGCCCTCGTCCTATAGTCTAGCATGCCCAGTGGTCCCCCAGACCCACCTCCTTGACTTTGCATATTCACTCAACATCCCCTGGAAGACTTTCTCCCAAATTCTACCCCCAATGGAGACAGCTCAGATCAAGTGCCACCTGCTCAGTAAGGGCTTGCCTGGCTCCCCAAGGGATCTAACCTGCCTTCCCCGAACCTCTGCCCCCACCCCTGGCCCTTTCTGCATGTAAAACACAGGGCCTGGGTATGGAACTGGCCGAGCCCTGATGTGTCCTGAAGGCAGGTCCTATGTTTTTCTTTGAGGTCCTCCTACTCCATCGAACACAGGGTTTAGTACACCCCAAAGATCCACATGCAACACTTATGTGGGGGAGGAAGGAACAATGGGCCATGCCCTCAGCCTAGGTACCTGAGATGTACCACAGCCCCTGCTAACCAGAGGTTGGCTGGGAGTTGGGGATGGCCCCTCTACCAGGCCCTTGGCAAAACTAACTGGAAATGGGGGAACAGGCATCAGGGAGGAGCAGGAATGAGAGGAGGAAAGAGATTCTCTGGGGAGTTGAGTTTGGGGTTGCAGGGAGTAGAAGGAGAATCACCACCAGGGAATGAAATGGGAAAGGCCAGAGGCCCCTCTGAACAGCCCTCCTCCAGTGGCTGGGTGGTCCTTTCCAAGGCCTAGGTCAGGAGCCCAAACCTGAGGGCCCCTCTCCAATGCCCCAGCCCAGGATCAGCTTCCAGGACTCCCTCCTTCCCTGTACTCAGGACACAGGGAGAACCACTGTGTCCTGAGCAGCTTGGTGCAGTGGAAATTGAATCCAATGAGCTGGCGGGAGACCTGGGCTGTCATCCAGGGCCTGATGCTCACTGAGAAGAGTCCCATCCCCTTTCTGGGCCTCAGTCTCACAGTCCGAGAAATGAACTCGTGGGACTAAGTTATCTCCAAGCACATTCCCAATCGTATGTTAGTACTTAGACCTGCCCCTGTTCAGAAGCCAGCAGTGTACCGCTCCCACACCCAGTGCTAGCAGGACACTATTTCAGAGGCTCTGTGGGGGCAGTCAGGGGAGAGACACCTGGATTGGAGTCCAGCTTTCCCATCTACTGATGGTGTGACCTTGGGCAGTTTACTCCTCCACTCTGCGCCTTAGTGTCCAGCTCTGTAAATGGTGGCAGTAAAACCTTCCTCAGAGACTGCTCGGAGCATTTAAGGAGACACCTGGCACAGATGCCTGAAAAGCTGTCTGGCACAGGGCTTGGCCCTGAGACCCTCAAGGAACTGCAGTTCTCTCCCAGCTTCCAAACTCATGTCCCCTCTTACCATCTTCCCCCATTGTTCTTATTTCGTCAAGCGCCACCTCCTGCAGCAAGCCCTCCTTGCTTACTCTGGCTTACAGTGCCCTCCCGTCCACCCATTTCTTTACTTTTTCACCAGACATGTACTGGCAGTTGCTGTGGGCACAGAGATTGCTCTAACACTGCTACTGTCTTCCAAAAGCAGTGTGGGGAAGGGAAATAAGACAAGACACAAAAGACTAAGACCTATGACAGGCAGAGAGAGGGCCAGAGAAGAGGGAATCCTAAGCTAGCTAAAAAGGGTTAAGGAAGGCTTCCAGGAAGAGGCATCTGAGCTCTGTCCTTCAGGACAGGGAATATATCTACAGGGAGAAAAGGTGGGATAGTGTATGGAGAGCGGGAAAGGAGGTGGGAGCAAAGCCCAAGGGCAGGACCCACTTGTGGGGAATAAGTGTTCCAGTGGGGGCTGATCCAAAGGGGACTGGAGAGGCTGGGGAAGTAGGCTCATGTCTGCTTCTCCTGTAACCCCACCCCACAGTGGTCTGAGAGCCATGGGCTCCCAGGTCAGAGCACCCATGACCCATACAATGAAGCCCCTGGGCATCTAGAGCTGTCCATACCCATAAGCCCCACCTCCTCCACTGGCACACCTCCTTCTCTGACCCTACCTGAAGCCACCACCAAGCATGGCCCCCTGCCTCCATTTAGGCATGCCTCCTCGCAGAGACCCCTCTCTTCCACAGGGAGTCTGATAGCTCACAGGCCTTAGACACAGCCCCCTATCTCCAACTTCCTATCCCCCCAACATATCAAATATTCCCACTCCCCAGGGAGATGGACGGAAGAGGGTCGGGAGGCCACAATCCACTCAAGCCCCTGTCCTCTTCCAAGATGGCTCTCCCCTTTACACTGGCTGGCACTGAGGCTTCCCCTGGGGTGCCCCACCCCTCCCCCACCCCCCAATACATCTGAGCTCAGGAAGCCAGGGAAGTGGAAGACAGACAGCCTGTGGTAGACAGGAACAGATACCCAGCCCTTGATACCCTGCCCTAACACCAGCAGGGGTCATCGCCAGTCTACCATGCTGATAAAAGACAAGGGGGGGGGGGACAGCAGCTGCCCCATGGACAACTCAGATCCCAGGTCACCTGACAAGTCACCCCACCCCAGACTGGCTGGTGCCCTGGAGTGAACTGGAACCACAGGAAGAACTGTGAGCCCAGGGCTGCACTCCTCATTCTGGGGTAGGCTCCAGGCGGCGCAGTGGGAAAGATTTTGGGCAAAGCAGCTACTGACCCAAGTCATTATTCCATCTCTTTAAGGACGGTGCCCTGATGGAGAGGTAAAACAAGAGTAACCCAAAGCACACTCATGGGGGTAAGAGGTTCTTAATGTCCGAGACCTGGGAATGTGCTCCTCTACAATGCCCCCAAAGATGGGTTGGCGGTGTCCCTCGGGGGTGCTATAAGTGTCAGTCAGTCCCTTGTTACCCCACCAAACCTCCCAACCCTTAGCCAGAGCATGGCTGCTCCCAGCACGCCCCCTCCTGTCTGCTGGCCGGCCCCGCGCCCTGGGCACATACTCTGTGACCCCTGGGGGTGCCCCGGGGCCTCCCTCCCGCCGGCCCGCTCTGAGCTCAGAGGCACCAAGAAGCCCCTGAAAGGCCCGGCCAGCAAGCCCAGCGCCCCTCCCCAGCCGGACGCCCCCACCTTCCAGCCGGCGGAGCTGTTGCTGTCGCCTTTATCCTTGAAGTAGGGCACGTAACGGACCATCCAGTCGTAGATCTGGGAGAGCGTGAGCCGCTTGTCCGGGGCGCTCTCGATGGCTTTGGTGATGAGGTCGGCGTACGACAGGTTTCCCCACGCGTTCCGTCGGGAGCTCTTGGCTTTCCGCAGCGGTCCGACCTCCGCTCCCAGCGGCGGCGCTGGGGCCATGGCCGGGGCCGTCGCCCGGCGCTCCGGCCCGCAGTCCTCGGCGCCCTCAGCCACCCCTGAACCTAGCGCTCGATCTTCTTCGCCGGCCAAGTCAGGCTGCGGCAGGGGCCAGGTACACGAGCGCGGCCGGCTTTGCGGCGCGAAGTCTGGGTCCACGTCCACCTGATGCGCTCGCAGCTTTGCAGCCATGGTCCCGCCCGCCTCGGGCGAGCAAGAGAGGGAGGCTCCTCGGAGGGTGGGCGGGAGGCTCCGGGATCTGCACGCCCCGGGGAGGCCCGCGGGAGGGGTCCCTGGCGGCGCCGGCTCAACCGCGGGGCGCCATGGGCCGGGGCGCGGAGACAGGGGGTTGGACTCGCTGGAAAGCCCAAAGGGAGGGAAAGATGGGAGCAGTGAGGGGGCGGCGGCCCCGGAGCCCAACGGGCACACACCTCGCCCAGCTCCGCTTCTAGCACCTGCCGCCTGCCTGAGCCTGCAGCCGACACTGCCACCCTCGCTGCCGCCGCTCCCTTAGCGCCGGCCCCGCGCCCGGGCCCCGCTCTCCCGGGACGAGGGCGGATTGCACCATGCCGGAGCCCAAGCCCGTGCGGGAGCCCGCGCCGCCGCCGCCGCCCCGTGAATGCCGCCGCCGCCGCTCCGGCTCCAGCGCCAGCTCCCGCGCCTGCCGCGCTCAGCGCCGGCTGCACCTCGGAATGGGCGGGGGACCGGGAGGGGGCGGGCCCGGCGCGGGAGGGGGCGGGGCGTACCCACTAGCAGCCGCGGAATCTTCAGCCTGCCTGGTGCCCCGCCCCTTGGCCGGGGTGGGGACGCGAGGCGCGCGACTCTGGACGACCCTGCCACAGCCCCTGCAAGGAACAGCGCCGCCTACAGAGCAGGGGAAGAGTGGCGGGCGCGACCCCGCCCCCTGCTCGGCGCTAGGGGCGGGGGCGCGGGGGCGGGGTCTGAGAGTTCTCATTGGTTTTCAGCAGGGCCGTCCCGCCTACGAACTCGGCCCGATCCCTCCTAGAAGCGCGTCAGCGGGTTATTGTTACAACCCGGGGTTTCCCGGGGCAACGGTGATGGGGCGGGACTCAGGGCACTTGGTCCCGCCTTCTACTCCTGGGAGGAATGCCCAGCCCTCTGACTCTAGACCCTTGGCCTCTCCAAGTCTTAGAAACCTGATGGGGATTATGATCCAGCTGGCCTTTGTGCCCTACACTGGCCTGGGGAAGGAGAAAGGGTTAGGAATACCTGGGTTCTGGGCCAGGCTTTGTCACATTTTTAGCTTTTCCATCTGCAAATGAAGTTTTCATGGGCTCTTAGGGTGCCTGTGAAATAGTTTTAGAGTCTTGGTTCTCAAAGTTTAAAGTGTGAAAACATGTTGCTGGAACCGACAGGGTAAGCCTGGATTGGGGCTGTAGATTTTGTATTTCTAACAAGTTCCCAGATCATGCAACCAGGACTACACTTTGCAAACCACTGTTTTAAAAACTCTGTGGGATGCTCTTGCACGGCTAGTGGAAGAAGGACTTACTTCATAGTTCATTTTGTATGGGGAGAAGCTTCTCATTCATTTAACAGTTCATTCATTTACTTATTGAGTACCTTCAATGCTCCAGGCACACTTCAGGCCACTATGGCAAGAGCAGCAAAAGAGACAGATGAGGTTCCTACTGCAGAGGCTAGTGGCAAGTCAGATGCTTATCATGTCATCATCAGGCCTCGGAAGGGAGAGGCTGGCTGAGAAGTTGGGCAGCCCAGGACCTCATCCCACAGGGCCCTAGGCTGAGTCTGCAGTCACCACACCACCTGCCAGCCTTTGCTCAGAACATCCCTTCTGCCTAGAGTACCCTTTCACCCCCTCCAGGCCATGATCAGAGATTTTTCCATTCTTCAAAGCTCAGCTCAAGTGTCAACTCATCCCTGATCCCTTCTCTAACCCCAGCTCCTAACACCACTGCTCCTAGCTCTTTTCCTTGCCTGCCCACACCGCTGCCTGCTCTATCAGCAATGCCTTATGTCCCTTGAGGACATTATTTCTCTTTTGCCAGTCAGGAAACTGAGGCCCAGAGTGGGGAGGTGACTCACCCAAATGAAATGGCCAGGACTAGAATCCCAAGCTCATCAGCCAGTACCACACTTCTGGAGAGGCTGGAGACGGCAACTTGCAGACTTCTCTGGCCATGAGAGACAGCCTCTGTCAAAAATTTCTTCTTTCCAGCTGGGGTCCCAAGGAGTAGAGCTAAGGGTGAGGGTGCAGGAGTGGCTAGAAGGTCCCCTCCTTACTCTCCCCCAGGGTAGAGCCAGGCCCAACTTTCAAATGCCTGGCACAGCATCTTCCTGAGTTACATCCTGTAGGCCAGGGTGGGCATGGGAACCATTGCTGCCCCCCATACTCCTCTGCATGTATGTACCCACTCTCCAGGTGGTCTGTTTAGAGTCACAAGGGCTCTGAAATCACTGCTGGACCCCCTCCCAGAGCTCTCATGTGCCCTCCCTGCCTGGGGAGCCCACATGGGGAGCTGCCCTCTGAGGTACCCTGGAGGCCAGGCAGGCCTCACGCCAGCTTCGGCCCTGGCCCAGCCTGCTCTGTGAGGTGGAGGCCTGCTGAGGGCCATACCAGAGCTGGGAGGATCCTTAGCTGGGGGCCCTGGCACAGGCTGCCACTGCAGGGTTGGAAAGCTAGGTTGGCAGACACTCCTTGACTCAGGCTGACTCAGACTCTGCCCAGGCCCCTGCCCTACCCAGTGTCCACAGCTGCTGCCTGCAGTCTCCTTGGGGACCCACATCTGGCGCACTCAGCCCTGCTTCACACACATACAAACTCACTCCCACCATGCCGCACGCTGATACTTTTCATTACTCACAACTTGACCCCGGCTTACGCACTCACTATGGGGCAGTATAACATAGTGGTTGAGAGTGTGGGCAAGTTACTTAACTGCTCAAAGCCACTATTTTCTAATCTATAAATGAGTGTTGTCATAGCACTGGCTTTTCATAAGATATTTGAAGAATTCCATAAGATCATGGATATCAGAACTGGGCTCAGGGAAAGTGTTCAATAAAGTATCGCTGTTTTTATTATTGTTGGTACATGTCTTCCATTGGTACCCACTCTCACCGTGCGCACACTCGTGCCCATGCACACACGCTGGCTCACTTACATGCACACTCGTAATGTGTGCATATGTCCCATCCACTTGTATCCCAATTGCAGAGGCTCAATTCTTCCTAAGGTTCTTGGCCCAGGTCTGTCCCCTCCCCGCCCCTCCCCTCCCCCATGCTTGCTCTCAGTCTGCCCTTTACCCTCCCTACCACTCCCACATTCATTCCTGCTCACAAACAAGCCCCCACTTGCTTACCCTTGCATTCCTCCCCTTCCACGCACAGACACATTGGCTTCTGCTCACACTTTCCCTGGGCTTAAAGACGCTTGTATTCCAACGCATGCACACTCTCTTGCTCACACACTAACAGACAAGTGCTTTACCCACACTCAACTCCTACTTGGATCACGAAACTTGTGTAGACACCCAAACAACCTCAGTGCATGCCTCAGTACCTCAGCCGGTCCATCAGTTCCCAGTAAGGAGACCACACCACACAGCTCTCTCCACACAGAATGCTGCCGGCAGATACCGCGGGCCTTGGGCCACAGTGGCACTCCCCCCACCCTCACAGGACTGTCTCCTCCCCGCAGCTCCAGTGTCGGTTCCCCAGCCCCTCCCAGATCTCAGAATAGCCTCTGCCACTGCGGCCACTGCCACCTCCGCCGCTGCCCCTGCGGAGCTGTCAGGGTCCGCCAGAGCCTGCTGCCCCACAGCTCAGTGCCAGCTGTCCCAGCGCACTCGGGGCAAGTAAGGACAGAAGGACGGACTTTTCTGAGGTCTCATGGACATAGCTGCCCAGCACCCCTAGAACCCCTTGGCAGAGCCCCTCTGGAAGATAGTCGGCTTTCAGAGGAGGCCACTGCCACTTGCCCAGGATTTTCCCAGCCCCCTAAGGGCTTTTCCAGTGTCCCCAGATCCTCATACCACCCAGTGAAGGCAGAGACAGCTGCCTCTCCTTGATGGTTCAGAGAACTCAAGGCCTGGGAAGGGAGGGGTTTGCTCAAAAAGCACTGTGGGTTGTTGGGAGCAGAGCCAGACCACGGCCAGCCTTTACACGTCCCTGTGGGGGACTCTAGAGGAGCCTCCCCTAAACCACACAGTTATCAAGAACCACCCCCCACCTCCACCTGTCAGTGCTCGGCAGAGCCTGGTTTGACATTTGATATCACAGTTGTCAGGAAAAAAGAATAGCCCAGGGGTGAAGGCTGGGGACGCCTCTGGAAGGGGAGGGGTTGATGTCCAGACAGGCCTCCAGGGGTGGAAAGGGGGAGTGTCTGCAGGAGCCAGAGGGGACATCAGGACAGCTGGGAGAGCCTCCAGGGCAGGCTCAGGCCTGGCCCAGGGACAAAGTCGGGGAGAGGGTGGGGCTGAGCTGAGGCTGTGTAGCTGAGGGGGACAGTGCAGTGGGAGAGAGCCCTGGTGGCAAGACCCAAGGCTCCTGTAGCTGACTCTAAAGTCCATGCCTGGGGCAGACTTCTGCTGGCTTTGGGGAGGCAGCTTGGACTGGCAACTGCTGGGTGCCCGAGAACATGTGGCCCAGGTCAAAAAGGACCTTATGTCCTGGGCCACGGGGCTGTACCCCCACAGACAATGGTAGAGAATTAGCACTGAAGTGAGCTGTTTGTAAAGCCCACGCCCATTCCACACGCCATCTGATTCAATCCTATATTCTTATCCTTGTTAGTTTTACTGAGCACTTACTAAGTGTCGGCCCCTGCAGAGCACCCCACAAGCATTGTCCAGAAGAACGTGGCTTTTTGGGAGCACAAATTTTGCCTTTCTTGTCCACTGCTCTGTCCCCAGGACCTAGAGCAGGAACTGGCACAGAGATCTTCAATAAATATTTGTTGAATAAGAGAATAAACTCACTTCAGTCTCACAACCACCAGAGAGGCAGATACTATCATTCCCATTTTCTGGGTGAGGAAAATGAGGCTCAGAGAAAGGAAGTATAGCTTCCTACCTCCCTGGGACTCAACTGGCATCTGGGTGTGCTTCCTACATGGCACCTGGTGACAAAGGGAAATGAGCTTAGGGCCAAATCTCTTCTCTAAGCCTTACTTTCCTCATCTGTGAAATGGCCACACTTCCCTGTAGGAGATAATGAAGATCACAAGCAAAGAGCACATTGCAGACAAATGTGTGTTCCCCTCAAATGTATGTTCTTCTCCACCTCAGGTTTGCTCTGATATTCTAAATTCCAGCACAACCACACCTGGGATCCGCGATGCTTGTAAGTCACCTTCTTTCCATACTACAACAAGGAGGTATGTAAGCCTGCCAGGGCTGCTGTAACAAAGTACCAAAGCGACTTAAGACGACAGGTATTTGTTTTTGCACAGGTCTGGAGGCTAGTGATCCGAAATCAAAGGCTTGGCAGGGTCGTGCTCCCTGAAGGCTCTGGGGGAAAACCCTGTCCCACCCACTTCTCCCCCCACTTCTGGTGGTTGGTTGCAGACAATCCCAGTGTTCCTTGTCTTGCAGACACATCACTCCAGTCTCTGTCTCCTTCTTCACGTGCTGTTCTCCCTTGTTTCTTCTCCGTGTCTGCACATGGCATCCTCCTCTCTGTGTCT